AGACTTGGAAACACACATGGGCAGTCTGCCCTGCCCTGCAGGGTTGCTATGAGTTGGCATTGACTCAAAGTCATGGAGTGCCCTCACTTTTCCAAATATTAATTTTTCAAGCACATGTTAAAATTATATAAAATATTTACTCATTTGAGGAATAGTGTAGCATATATGATTGATTTTTCATAAGAGAAGTAAATGTCAGACTTCTTATCTTTCCCATTGCCATATGAGAGCCTAACATGTGCGTTGGAAATGCCACATGTTAGCCACTAGAACAAGTAATGCCCTGTCTCCAATTCCAACCAGAGGACGGTTAGGTCCTACAAACTCCTCTTTCGCTTACTTCTTTCCTCCGGCTGTAAAGGAGGCTTCTGTCAAATAGGTATAAAAACGACAACTAAATTGAGAACAATATTTCGATATGAATATGCTCACCAAGGATGATGTCTCTCAAGCTTTATATAAAGTGCATTAAAACACAAATCTCTCTATGGGAAATCCTCACAGAGATGAAAACAATTCTCTGCTGATACTTCAAAGAGTGGTAAATACTATGACAACTGAAGAGAATCTTGCTTACGCTCTCAAAAATCCGATTCCACGTGCCACTTTGTGATCTATCAAAGACATATGGCCACAGGAGTCTCCAGTTTAGAACGTTTAACGAGTTTTGGTAGCTTCCCAGGACATGTGGGGCTTCGTATAAGGTTCTCCACGAACTGACCCCAGTTGAACTTCCAACGTTGCTGGGCCTCAGAACTGCCTGGGACTCCCCAGCCTGTCTCCACTTCCCACAAGTTTAGTGCTTGGTGCTTCTGACCTCTGCCACCAGTACTGAGCTCCTGACTCTCAATATCTCATAAGGCAAAGTATGACTTTTAAACTCTTAGGCTTTAGTTGTTCGTTCTTGTGGAAAACCACCCTTGACTATTAACTTTACTGAATTCTCATCCTTCCTTCACATTTCTGTGAGTTAAATTCGCATTTCCATAGGGCAAGGACATATCGTATTCATTTTGGCATCCCTAGTTCCTAAAATCTACTCCCATCGAGTCTCTTCCAACTCTTAGAGGCCTTATGTAGAGTTGCAAAGGCAGTAAATCTTTACAGGATCAGATAGCCTCATCTTTCTCACAAGGAGTGGCTGGCGGATTTGAAACACCGACTTTTTGATTAGCAGTCCAAAACATTCCAGATCATGTGAAAACTGGACGAGTGGGGAAGACCAGAGAAGAAATGGTGCATTTGAGTTATGGTATTGTCAAAGAATACTGAAAGTACCACTGACTGCCAGAAGAACAAACAAATGTGTCTTGAAAGAAGTACAGTCAGGATGCTCCTTAGAAGTAAGGATGCCCAGAATCCGTCTTACATATTTTGGCTATATCCCCAGGAGAATCCAGTCCCTGGAAACGAACACCGTGCTGGGTCAGGTGGGGGTCAGTGAAAACGAGGAAGGCCCTCAGCGACACAGAGGTAGCAGTGCGCTGCAGCGGCACTGGGCAGAGGAGCAGGCCGTGTTTGGCTCTGTTCTGGTGAGCACAGGGTTGCTAGGACTTGGATTCCATTCCACAGCCCGAGAGCAGCTCCGAAAGAAGTACACTGAGCTACAGCGCAGCACTGCCCTTTATGTAGGGACCAGCTCCCAGCTCCAGAAGAGCCAACAGTTCCTTAGGGATGTTGTCCTTAAAGGGTTCATGACTCCCAATACTTTGTGTTCCTTGCAGAATAAAGCCCCGCCTTTTCCTTTGTGCTGACTCTGACTCATGGCGGCCCCATGTGTGTCAGAGTAGAACTGTGCCCCCCTGAATTTTTAGATCACTAGGTCTTTCTTCTGCAGTACTTCTGGACCAAACGGAACCTCCACCCTCTCATTTAGCAGCCAGGTGCAGTAACTGTTTGCAACATACAGGGATTTCACCAGACACATAATAGAACTGAAATATAAATATTTAAAACAAATCTGTTGAATAATTTGAATTATGATCACTTTGATATTGTTTATGAGCTCATTTCCTGCAGATATTAATGCAACCTTGAAGCCATTCACTTCTAAGCAGTTGAGAAACAACAGTCCTCGGTGAGAGCACTGTACACTTGGAGAAGATGAATGTGAAGGTGGCACAGAGCGTGGTGGGGAGTCGATGATGTCCTCTTCTGCTCCAGTGCAGCCTCTCCCTGCGCTCAGTCACGAGGAGAAGCCGCCCAACGGCCTTCTGTAGCAGCATCACGTCATCGGTTCAACGCATGACGTGAGCACCCTCAAAAATCCAAACACCACTACAGGCTTTCCCCAGGAGCAAGTGTAGAACATGCTTGTATCAGAAAATGGTGTTTTGGTGAGCTGGAGTCACTCTGAATCCGAGAAAAAACGTTTTTATCAACCACTGTTCTAAAACAAAAACAAAAGGAGTAAAAACACCCAAAAAACCCCTCCCTCATAGTTTAGGTTAATATGTTATTAAAAAGAAACAAGCAAACAGAAAGATGGGTGAAGGGTGACACTGGATGGTGTAAGATATGAAAATAATAATAATTTATAATCTATCAAGGATTCATGAGGGTGGGGAAGGAGGGAAACATGAGCTGATACCAAGGGCTCATGTAGAAATAAAATGTCTTGAAAATGGTGATGGCAACAAATGTACAAATGTGCTTGACACAATGGATGTATGGATTGTTATAAGAGCTGTAAGAGGTTTCAATAAAATGTTTTTTTTAAAAAAGCAAAAAAATTTAGACCTACGATACAATATCTCTTCTTTTTGGCATAGTTCCCCCCTTGTCTTAGGTAGCATTACTGACTGGGTATTTCATTATATTAAAAAAGAAAATAAACCACTTTTCTTTTAAAGATTATGTACTCAGGATTTAATGAACACTGTGTATCAGACCCATGGTGGCTGAGCTTAAATTCTAAAGTGTAATACTTGAAATAAAATAAGCACCTCTCTCCCTAAATACTCTGACAATAAACTGAAACCTGTGGACTTGAATACTGCAAATCCCTTCATAAGTTGCACATTCCTTAATCTTCTAAATTTTCTTCAGTAAACTCATTTGATCTATAGTTGAGGATTCATTCCAGAATTCAGTGTAATCCTCTTCTCTCCTAGACATTTGGCAAGCTTGTCATAAAGGCCCTCATCACTCAAATTCCTCCTCTGAGACAATAATTATCCTGCCTTAAGTGCAATATCTTCTATTTAGAGAAAGAAACTCCACCAAGGTCTAATCTTGCCTGTTAGCATTCACCAGCTCTTCTTTGAGCACAATACGATTATTGAAAATCTAACAACATAGTCTCCACTTGGCAAAAAAACTGGAAGTGAAAAACATCGAAGCTGAGACTTTTCTAAACAGGATCCTAGGATACACTTTGACCCAGGTGCTTTCATAGTAATTACCAATCGATTTTTGATCTATTGCTCACAGAGGAACCCATTTGAGAAAGGCTACAGTGAATGAAATGAAGTGAAAGGCAGGATGAGACAGCGATATCATGTTCCCTTTCCACAGGAGACCCCATCCTAGGAGAGAAGCAACGTGCCAGGTAAGGAGTCTCCTTGAGGGGGTTCTAGAGTGTTCTGACCTTTAAAGTCAATTATTAGTTGGTCTTCCTTTTCTCATCTACGAAGTACACCGCTTTGTTCACTCCTTTATTAAATCATTGATAATGAAATCCTACAGGCCATACGTGGTGCTTGCCAACAGTGATAAGCAGAGGTTCAGGAAATCGGCCACTGTGCAGGGAGCAGACCCCTAAGGAGAAAAACTGTGACGGCGCCATTTGCTGGATCTGCAGGCGAGAAGCTGACAGAACCACGGAGGATGACATGGCCAGTGCTGAGAGAGCCAGCAAAGGCCTTGCCGAGAGCGCCTGCCTGAGCTGAGCTATGGAGGTCAAGGGAAGATTCCTCGGGTCCGCTGGAAAGCAGGCGGAAAGCAAGGCATTTCTGAGACAGTACGGGAGATGAGACCACTGATTGTGAAAGAAGAAAAGGCATAGAAGGAGTTAGGCCAAGAGGTACAGGGAAACCTAACAGTTTGAATTCACATCACAAGTAAAAGGAGGCTATTAAGGAGTTTTAAGCCAAGGAGTTTCGTGGTTCAGCCTACAATTGAGAAGTATTAAGCTGCTTGCAAAGGGGGAAGCCATCTCTGAGCTGGTCTGAGATTAATATTTTATCTGATGATTCTGTGGTTTGGGAAGCACTAATAAAAATTAATAAGACCACAAGAAATAGAATATGTTGTCCAGAAACTTGGGGGATTGGAAGTTCTTCATCGTTCTGTTTAGCAACAGCATTCTGTGAAATTCTGCCAGCGAAGCAGCTCTGTATTGGGATAAGGGAACATGTTCTCGAGATCTACCAATGTGGATGCTGACCAGGTGAGCAGACAGTACTTCGGTAGGTTCAGGACAGAGTTAATCTATTTGGATCGTTGGCTTGAGGCTGCTCAACTAGATAGTCAACGTCAACAAACAAACAAACAAATATTATTTTTGCTATTTTTGTTGAAAATATTTGAGTATACAATAGAACATATGTCAATTCAACAACTTTTGTATGTGCAATTCCGTGATACCGACTTCATTCTTCAAACTGCACTTTTTTTTACAATTCTCCTTTTTGAGTGTTCCCTCCTCCACTGACATAAATGCACCGCTCTCTTTTCAGGTCACTATCCCAACTTCCGCGTTGTTGTTACGTCAACATGAAAACAAAAGGAGCACCCTGCTCAAGACTGGTTTTTTTAAAACCTATTAAGCAATGCACTTTTGATGTTGACAGTGTGATCAAGTGGGTCTCTCTTATCTCCTGGATGCTGGGGAGGGGGACATGATGAATAGCACTGGAAACACAGATTCCTCAGCAAATGCTGGAACAAATCATCCCAAAGTCAGAGAATGAAGAGAATGACAGTTTACAGGGAACAAAGTGCCCCGAGAGAAACCCCAGAAAACAGAAGGAAAGGGCAGTCCACCGACTGTTACTCACAGGTGGCCCTGGGGGTCCTGGTTTTCCTCGTCTTCCCTGGAAACCAATGAAAAACAGATCATAAGTACTGCAATTCTTATGTTAAGATCATATTTCACAGTAATGTTGAAGATTTAAGTTAACAAAAAGATTTTTTAATCCAAAATCTACATAACTTAATGTCAGTTAAATTATAAAAGCTGAAGACCAATTGTTAACAACCAAACCAAGAAATCCATTGTCTGACAAGTATACATCTTAACTGTTCTTAAGTAGTCCTCTAAGCCCAATACATGTTAACAACTCTGATAATTTCGTAAAGTAATAGGAATTGCCTGGAAGCCTGGCAGTTTACCTGATGCTTCTGTGGTTTGGGAGGCCATAACAGAAGCATTTGCCATTTTATATTGGTGCTTTCCAAAGAAGGGGTCTGCATTCTACTTTTATTGCAGTTGCCTGAGCATGAGAGTCTAGATTAAAAGTATATTCCTGTGTGCCATTAAAAACTACTTGCTTAAAAACTCTGGAAATGGATACCATGAATATTTTAAACCACTTCAGGTAATGTTATGCTTTTTAGGGTTTGAGATCCATTTCCATAAGGCAGATCACAATTATACCCATACAAGCTGTTGGATAAGCACTGAACTGACAACTACAACGCCGGTGGTTCAAACCCAGCAGCCACTCTGCTAGAGAAAGACCAGGCCGCTCACCTGGTGAACATTTACAGAGCCTCTGAAACCCCAGAAAGGGCTGAAGTTGGAAGCGACTTGGTGGCAGGGATGTTGGGGTTTGGTATGTTTTATAAAGTCCATTACCCAGCTTTTCCCTTTCTTTTGGATGGCTAAGCTGTTTTAAGAGTACAATAAAATGAAAATTCTTTGCTTATTAATCTACATAATTATAAGCAACTTTTAGGTCTTCAAAATTCACAAGCAGCTAAATTTCAATTGCAAGACTGAAAATAAGATTGAAAAATAAGATCATAATACAAGAAACATATACACAGTGATGCATATCAAATGGCATTTAGAACATTTAATTTTCATGTGTTCCTTAAATTTAATTAATTAATTAATTTTTTCAAAATCATTTTCTTGGGAAAAATCAAGGGCATATGATCAAGGGCTACTTCTTAAACACATAATCCTAGCTAGCATGGACAGATAGGATTTTAACAAAAAATAAAATTAAAAAAAAGTTAATTAGTTTTCCTGTACCTTTTGTTTTAAATATTAGAGTTATTTCAAGAGCTTGTAAGCTTGGAATGAATATAGATTTCACTATTCTGAATACTTAATACAAGTCACACAGCACCAACCGTTTCATCGTCTTGCACTGTATTTTGTCTGAAAATCAATGCATCGGGTCTTTTAGGAAACATAAGGCAATTAGCCACTGGGGACTTGTCAGGGATAAAAACTTTACTTAAAACTGAAAACATTACAATTTATTATTAATTCACAAGACAACAAGGAAATGAAATCGATGACATCTAAGTGGGTGAGAGGTTCTTTCTTTAAGCATGCATTAGTTTGAGGTAAGTTAAAACCTAGGATCAACTTTTGTTTGTCTTCTCCTTTCTTTAAAGGAGACACGGATATTGATTTATCCAGGAAGTGGGCAAGATGAGGTTGATTATTGATCAACTTTTTCACAGAGTTAATGTGTAAGACAAACTAAGTGTCAGAAATTGTAACATAACTGACATGTCTTAAGCTGTGGAGAAAAAAAGCATTCACGATTCAGCAATGGGCAAGCAGCCAAATTCTTGCCTATCACGGCTGAGTCACACCATCATTCAAACCAGGCTTGCAATGGCCAGAGTGTACTGCAGTGCCGGCTGGAAGAGTGCGGAGAGAATGCAGGCTGAGTTTCGGTAAGCTCTGGTGAGAGCGGTAAGATACTCTGGGAGTTGTTCGATCGCAGAAACAGAGTGGGCCGAGAACGTTAGTAGGCACACATTCTCAACGTAAATGTGGTTTTGGGGCTTGAATTTCTAGTTAACACCCCCAAATAAATTTGAAAAATCTTTCAAGATGTGCTTTACACAGCAATACAGTCACCGTTTTCTTAGCACCCTTACCAAATACATAGGGGAACATAGTTTATCTTACGTCCGTGGTGAAGGTGCAGAATGGTGACGGTAAGAAACAGCGGAGGAAACTGCAGGGCACTCCGGAGTTAGTTCTTCAAAGGCCCCGGCTTCTATCGATGTAATATTCCAAAGCCACTCCCAGGCATGGCCTTCACTCACACTGGGGAACCGCAGAAATTAACTCCTTCGTTTCTTCACACTGTTCCTATCTGCAGTCCCCTCCCCTCCCTCCACGTCCTCTATCTCTCTTTCTTCAGAAAGATCTCTGTTCGTTTAAAAGCATTAAGGAAAAGTCTATCCACGGTGGTAAGTTTTGAGAAGGTAAACTGTTATTTAAACCAGGGTAATTTGAGGAGAAAAACCCTGTCAGTAATTATACCAGGACAAGAGGTATAAGCCACAAATCGTGTTTTAGGACTAAAATCAGATTTATCCATTTTTCAGAGGACAGTACAATCCATGAGCCTTTATTCTTTTCCTCCTAGGGTGCTGGGGAATGGAGTGAGGAGGCAAGGCCCAGAGCGCGGCTTGTGGATGGGGCCAGCGAGAACCCTACTGATGCTGAAAGGAGGGTAGTTACTGTACTGTACAGTTATCCTCCAGTCTCTAATTCAGTCCTCTAATAAGGTGACCAGATTTTAACATTGGTAAAGCGGGACACCACTGATAAAACTCATATCCTGGAGAAATAGCCACATGGCAGCTGAAAACCATATACCTAGCTTGTCGTGCATTCTTTCCAGAAATCGGGACATTTTAAAAACGCTGCGGGACATGGGGAAAATTGTTAAAAATATCGGGACTGTCCCACCAAAAGCGGGATGTCTGGTCACCTTACTAATTACAGTGCTCCCTCTACATGCACGGGAAGGTGGGGCAACACATGAGGATTTGCTTGCGGGTGGGTACTCTTTCAGCTAACAGCTGATCCAGGAGAGGCCTTCCTGCTTAGGGGCTGCGCTCAGGTGACCATTTGTTCCTAAGCAGCTGAATCTCCAAATGGTTGAAAACCTACTGTGCCAGCATTGCTACAATTGGGCTAATCCAACACAGCCCTGAAAACTGGCATATAAAGCACAAAACACAGATTTATGGCATTAGGTTTCCCTGGAAACCTCAAAGGGCTCAGGATCTGGTTTGGCATCAGTTTAACGATGAGCAGAAAGCCATTTAGATACGTGCCCAGTGGTCTAAGCTCAAACCTGACTGTGAAGCAGCATCACTTGGAGGGTTCATTAGAAGAGCTGGCTGGGACCCTCTCCCATTTTCTGATCCAGTAGGTCTGGGGGAGCGTCTGAGAAGTTGTATTTCTAATAAGAAACACTGCCAGTCTGGGGCCACACTTTTGAGAACTTGCCAGACATCTAAAGCGCCTACTCCCTGCTACTCTGCTACATTCCTTTACATTTTATACACCTTGTAGCTCAAACAAAAGAGCTCACTGAGCTCCACAATCACGCTGAGCTTCAAGACAAACACATCACAGACACATCCCGGAGAGCCTGGGTTGGAATCCTGTAGTTTTCTCTCATGGGAACTTTCAGCGCCAAAGTTTCAATGTTGTAGAATTGGTTCTTATTGTCTTGCTACAGGTGTGTGGAAGGATTAACAAAGATCACATATAGAACGCCTACCACAGGCCACTGGAGATCCCCTTGCAGAGGGGTCTCGGGGAGGAGACGAGCCAGACAGGTTGCGATGTAGCAACGATGAAAAATACAACTTTCCTCTAGTTCCTAAATGCTTCCTCCCCACCCCCACCATCATGATCCGAATTCTACCTGGCAAGCCAGAGGATGTACACTGGTACAGATAGGAACTGGAAACACAGGGGATCCAGGGCGCATGATCCCGTCAGGACCAGTGGTGTGAGTGGCGATACTGGGAGGGTAGAGGGAGAGTAGGTTGGAAAGAGGGAACCGATTACAAGGATCTATATGTGACCTCCTCCCTGGGGGACGGACAACAGAAAAGTGGGTGAAGGGAAACTTAGGACAGGGCAAGATATGATAAAATAATAATTTATAAATTATCAAGGGCTCACGAGGTGGGGGGGGGAGCAGGGAGGGGGTGAAAAATGAGGACCTGATGCCGGGGGCTTAAGTGGATAGCAAATGTTTTGAGAATGATGAGGGCAATGAATGTATAAATGTGCTTTACACAATTGATGTATGTATGGATTGTGATAAGAGTCATATGAGCCCCTAATAAAACGATAAAAAAAAAGAACTCGTACCACAGTGCCCAGCATGTGGAGAGAGTAATAAATGTTGTTTCGTTTATGCCCTTTACCACCCTCTACCCACTTCTCCATTCTCCTATAGAAATAAATGTTTCAGAGGGAATCCAGAACCTTCTAGCATAAGTACTGTGTATCCTTTAAAAGAATATAATTGTCTCTTAACTATATGTATGTATTACTTTCATCAAAAAAAACAATCTAGATGCAAGAGTAGGAAAATACATCGTGGTGTCCTCATACACTAGACTATAAACCAATACAACTATATACCAATGAATATGAAAGAAAACTCCACACAACGATGTGTGTGACTGTCACTAATATTGTGGATCGATTTGTATAAAGCCAGCAAGCACAACAAGTCCCTGCTGCTGGAAGTTACACTGGCTACCGCCGTGGGAGGGCAATGACGGAAAGGAGTGTGAGAGCTGCTTTTGGGGTGGAGATGCTTTGTTTCTTGAACTGTGTGCTGTTCCTACATGGGTGTGATTAGTTTGAGAAAAGTCTTCCAGATGTGCATTTATGATATATATATTTTGTGGAATGGATGTTATACATAAATTTTAAAAATGTAAAAAAATATTGAAACCAGAAAATTCCCACAATGGTATAGTTTTATTTGAATTATCTGATGAATTCACCCTTCTGTATATCCTGTGTGCCGAGTCAACAAAGGTCACTCATATCAAGAAAAAAAAAGCTATTTAAATGAAT